AGGAAACGTTATCCTCTTAACTTTCGTTACAACTTTAACGGTGCTGCTATCCCGTCCACGGATAAAGTAAAAGATCTTGGCATCATATTGGATTCCAAGTTGCGATTTCATCAGTAAGGTCAGTAAGGTCAGTAAGAATTTCACGAATTTTTTGTGTATAAAAACCCTTTATTTGGCATTTGTCAACAGTGTGCTTTGTTATGGTTCCGTAATATGGAACCCCATGTATGCGGTGTATCGTGGTCGTATTGAAGCTATTCAGCGACGCTTTGTACGTTATTTGGCACATAAATTTCATCTTCCTTACTGCGATTACGATAGGCGTTGCGTGGTCTTCAACTTGTTGTCACTACAGCAGCGTCGAATTGTTGCTGACTTGATCTTCCGATCTTCTGCCTGAGTTGAGTTTCAATGTACCGTAACGGCTTACACGTTTCAACGCTACATTTCGTCTTGATAGATCTAACACCAACCTTTATCAAAGCTCTCCATTAGTTCGAATTCTTAATTCCTATAACCAAGGCTTCAACCATGTACCTCTCTTTGACGTTTCCGTACGCTCTTTTAGAAACTATGTACTAACTAATGTATAGCGAATGTTTTGTTGATCGCTTTATCGTTGTATTTATTTTAGCTTATATCACAATTTTTTTTATATTAATTTTCGTTATTATGAGGATGCTTTGTTGGGGATATTCTCCCCGTATGCATCCCGAATATGTAATAAATAAATAAATAAAAAGGATGTGTTTTCCCATATCAATTTAATTGCTAAACTACGTAGTGAACCTGATGATTGAACCTCGGTTTAACTGGAACTTTATGTCATATTATTAAGCAGAGGTCGATTGCGGCCGAGGCGCTACAATCGATACCATCTTAGACAACTCTAATGTCTAAATGGTTTAGTTCGGACGAAAAATACGAAGTCATTCCTGTATACACGAATTTGCTAAATTTAATTGCACCCATCATATCGAAAGCAGACACCGTTATGAGACGTGCGTTACCCTCCATAAACGGCTATCATCTACGCTGAAATTTTTTGCAACTGAGAGAAATCAGAAGATTATTAAGTGCCATCATTCCAGAAACAGACAGGGCATTAAAAGACATATATCTCAAAGTATATTTATTGAATATTATTTATAATAAGTTATAAAATACAAAAGGAAGTAGTACCAAAATATTTTCCAAACAAAAGGAACTCATCAAATGATAATATAAATTATGTTGCGCCAACCTCGAAACACTGAGGTTGCGAATTGTGGTTTATGGTTAAGTGTGCAATGATTGCTGAGTGCTGAATGGGGGTTGAGTGTGAGGCTGTAGAATGTCAGTCTCCCTGTTGGCTTCTGGGTCCAAGGATCGTATATTTTGCGTGAAAAGTGATAAGATGATAAGATACGCGGTAAAGTCAACTGATAAAGTTGGGGTAGGTTATCATTCAATATGCATGTCAAATTGTAACTGAGGCTTGACCATCGTTCATGCCAATACACAAAACTCAACCCGATTTTCTGTCAAGACAGATTTTACTCAAGTAATATTTTTTGGCTTGCGCAAACTTGTACTTTCAATGTGAAGTTAATAATTATTGTTTTATTCAATATTGGTGGAAATAAAACATATACAATATATTGTAATAATATAACCAATCATAAAACATTATTTTGAGGATTTGAAGACTTATCGTATTGAACCTAGGAGAATTTTATAAATGATAATAATAATAAATTTATTTTTTCTAATATAAAATATTATTTACGGATGAATTCCGTTATGTATTATTGGCCGTTGATGTTTTCTATTGTACATAACCCATGTAAACTCGATACGAAGTAATTTTAAAGACCATCTGACAGATGGATAACCTCAATTTGATTTTTTCTCAATTTCTTATTCAAATTCTTATTTATCCGGTTAAAACTATTGAAAATGATAATCTTAGCATAATAAGAATAGAAAACAGCCGTCATTTGTGTGAATTAATGAAATTTTAGATGAAAATCCATAATCTCAAGATTTCAGCATTTTGGAAATTTTGCCGTTGAATATAGAAGAAAATGATCAGATATCTGAAAATCAATTTAAAGAAGCATTAAAACTACGAGATTTCATAAATAAATATAGTTATTAAAAAAATTTTAATAATATTTAATCAAATTAAATTAGTGACATTTCAAATGTTAAGGTTGGTAATGACGGAAAATTTTAAAAACGAATTTCACGTTAACGGAATTGACCAATCAGGAGACACTATTTTTCAATTTCAAACATTATCCGAACGAAAATTTAAAATTTTAGTGTGATTTTGAACTTGAGAGAGAACGCACGCAAATTTTGGCTCGTCGAACATTATATTATTGAACATAACCTCAAAAAAAATTTATTTGAAGAATTTCTCCGATTCAAAGAAAAAAAAATTAATAACCCTAATGAAGAAACATCATTTTGGTTAACGTTCCTGATTATCCCAGAATCCCGTACCGTGGACTTATTTATCCTACAACCAACAGACTAAGCTAAGTGTTATTATTTTCTTTAAATTTATTCGTGTTAATTTAGTTAACAATTCACTTACCTTCAATACGAAAGATAATACTGGGATATTGCTCATAATAATTCTATTTATTGTTTATTTATTTGAGTTTTCAAATTTAATAGGATTAGATTTAATAGAATTATGAATTTTCATTTTACATATTTTTAAATAAACCTCAAGTAACATTACAATATATTCTTTTAAATTTATTTATGAATGTTTCTAGTTCTAGGTCTTGTGTTAGGTTTAGTGATAGTGCTAGTGTAAAACTGGAACTAACACTATACTTAGAACTAGAATCATATGGGTTGGGTTGGTCTTTAGAGACGTGCGACTAAACTTGAATGATTCTGGTTCTAGGTCTTGTGTTAGTGATAGTTTAAAACTAGAACTAACACTAGACCTAGAAGTAGAAACATTTGGATTTAGCCGTACGTCTCTCAAGACGGCTAAACCCAAATGATTCTAGTTCTAGGTCTTGTTAGTTCTAGCGATAGTGCTAGTGTAAAACTAGAACTAGAAACATTCGGATTTAGCCGTACGTCTTTCAAGACGGCTAAACCCGAATGATTCTAGTTCTAGGTCTTGTGTTAGTTCTAGTGATAGTGCTAGTGTAAAACTAGAACTAATACTAAACCGAGAATTAGAAACATTCGGATTTAGCCGCACGTCTCTCAAGAGGGCTAAACCCGAATGATTCTAGTTCTAGGACTTGTGTTAGTTCTAGTGATAATTTTTCATTTTACATATTTTTAAATAAACCCCAAGTAACATTACAATATATTCTTTTAAATTTATTTATTTTTCTCACATAAATTTAACAATCACAATCATTATTTCTTAAATCGATATTAAACGATCAATAATCCGCATTTTTTTGTTTATAAATAAGTAGTTTATATTCGTAATTCCTTTTTGATTGTCCACTTATAACGTTGACTTTTAATTGCTTTTTTTTTTACTTATTACTTTTTTTTTTTGGTTGATTATTAGACACAAATCTAAACACGCAATTTTTATTTGTATTTATGTATAATACATAACCCACAAATCGATATCTCATTTATTTTTTAAAGGTAATTTACGTATATATTGATCAATTTTTAAAAATAATACATTAAAAATCGTTTCTGTAACGTAACGTAACGTAATTTGAAACGAAACAATTTGATATGTCCTAAGTATTTTCTTCGTTAAAACCGATTTTTAAAGTATTATTATTTATTAATTCACTCCGTTTTTTTTTTCTCATTAACATCTATGTTTTAAGTATTTTGATTTTAGAAAAAAAGTCTCTAATACTCTTGTGCTTTTTGGATGGTTCGCAATAAGGTATCACATTCAAATGTAATTAATTACGTTTTATAATTTACGTTCTTTTTAAATACTTTTATACGTCTAAACACTTTTTCACAAACAGCAACAATCTTAAATTCGTATCATTTTTTTTTCTTTAATCTTAAAGCTACAAATTAAGAATAACAAAACCTAAAAAGATATTTTCGTTTTGTATATTATTTGATAAAGTCGGTATCACAGTTTGATTCTAGTTTTTACGTGTATTTTATTTTAAGATTGTCTTCAATTAATTGATTTTAAATTCAATTTTATTTATTTTTACTTTATTCTTTTAGTTTAAGTCGTATAATTAAGTAGTAATGATTTTAAAACATTTTCCCTGTGATACCAATCGGAATTGATTTGTTTCTTTGAAATATAGAAAGTGACTATAACAACAAGTGGAATTATCATTTTTTTACGCCAAGAACAACCTAATTTAACCGTTGTCAGTCTTTTGAAACGGCCGATGACGAATTTGTTGATGAGATGGACGTCGTTGATGACGTCGAATGTTCTCTATTGATGGAATTAATCAGTTCCTGATTCTCTTTGCGTACTGAAACAAAAAAAAAATCATTCCAATAATCTAAAATTATATTTTCGCTTTCTTTCTATCTTGAGAAACTGATTGTTATTAATAAATTTTCAAGACGTTACAATAACAACGGAATGGAGGTGGTGTTTAAAAACGATTATGGACATTAAAAATAGGTTTTAGAGGTTGCTCTAAAGAGGTGGGAGAGAATATAAGCGCTTATTTCTTATTATAACCAAGAGAGTTGTTGTTTGTGGGATGAATCTCAAAGATTTTAGATGTGGTGTTTCTAAGAACATTAAATAGCGAAATTTGACGAAGAGTTGTTTTGAAGCTTTCAAAACACAACTTTGATATCATAACACAAAGTTTTTATTCACTTCAGAATTGATTTATAAATTTATAAGACTTATATAATAAAGTTGTACATTTCCTTTAAAACAAACTTTTACAACCTCATGCATGCAATCAAAAACAAAGATTTTATATCTTTTTGAGAAGGCATAAAATCTTTTGTTGAAAATTGTGTCTTGTGGAAGCAAATAAAAGAGAAGATGTACTCATAAATCTCAATAATAATCATAATAAACTAGTCATATTGAAAAAGAATGTTTTTACAACCTTGTTTACGTCAATTTTAAATTATTCGTTTAAGAAACAAACGTAAAAATTTGTATACTTTTTATCTATATTGTTATTCTATTTTTAAACAGGCTTTGATGGTTATTTTAAAATTGCAGTAAGACTGACAGTAAGTATTTCCGCTTTGTACGTTTTTAAATTCGATGTATCATGTAGGTGGTGTCTGGGAGCCAAAATAAACAATACAAACCGAATTGGCTCCGATATAGAGAGAATAGGAGAGATTGAGGAGCTGAGAGAATTCACATATCTGGGGTACAGGTCCAGGGAGGATAAGAAGGACGCGGCGCATGTGAAGAAGATTGCTAAAAGGGCAAATAAGGTGATGGGGCAAGTCAAGACGTACACAATCGGTACTGGAGATGGTTTCTGAGTCTGGCGAGGGACACAGGGGTATATTATTAAGGTGGATAAAATGTGTGTGGAGACGGGCAGAAGAGCAGTTAAATATGAAGAAATGATAAAAGACCATACTGCGGGATCCTAGGGGAATGTTGGAAGTTAGGGAGGGGAAGATTAGATATGGTATAGAAGAAAGAAGGGAATATTACAAAAGGACAGGTTATTCTGAGGCAGAGATAAGTAACAAAAGAAGGGAAGGGGTGTTGATGTGAGGGGAGTTAAGTGACAGGAATAGGGATGACGTCAACGAGTCAACGTGCCTGAGGAAGGCAATTTTGCCGAAACAGCTGTAGCACTGAAAAGTTAGTCTAATAAACTATTTAACACTGTTGACTCATACCTTTTTGATTTCACACATCTCAACGATGCAAATTGAATCCCAACTTTCCAAGGAATAGTGATGTCCAGAGACAGGAGAAAAGGACGCTGATACGAGAGGGAAGATACAATAAACGATATAATGAGGGGACATAATGACGGTGGGGTTTCCAAAATACTTGATGAGGAAAGGAAGAGGATACTTTTGTGGCAATGAGGAGAGAGAAAACAGATACTGGCCGGACGATGTGGAGAGGATTGGGAAACGCTAGAACATATGTTAAGAGGATGTAGCGAGCTGAGAGAAGAGGAAAGGAACCGAAGACAGGTTCTGGAATAGGGGGGAGAAGACTGGGAATGGATGAGGGAGGTGGTTAGGACGAGGAGAGGGAGGAAGTTGAATTTGGTTTGTCATATATTGTAATGGAAAAGGTTGTAAACCTTTAGTTGACAATAAAAACTCTTACTACCACAAACGAGTATACTTGCTGCTAATAGAGCCTACTTACTACGCTAACAAAAAGTTGATCAGGTCTAGAATCGTCTCCAGAAAAACCAAAATCAAGGATATACAAAACTCTGATTATGCCGGTTATCACATATGGATCAGACACATGGAGCTTGACAGCTAGCGATACAAAGAAACTTCTTGTTTTTGAAAGAAAAATAATTAGGCGAATATGGCGAATACGAACGAACGCAGAGATTGAATGTATCCTAGAGAGAGAAAACATTGTACGTTTCATAAAGGTCAAACGTCTCAGGTGGTTTGGACATGTCATGAGAATGGCAAATCACCGGCTACCAAGAAGAATGTTCGAGTCTAACATGCCAGGAAGATGATGCCAAGGTTAATCTCGAAATCGCTACAAGCATGAACTGGAGAGGGATCTTCGAAGTATGGAGGTGTGAAATTGGAAAGGCAGAACTTCAAGCCGAGATGGATGGCGGGAAGCCGTGAAGCAGGCTAAGGCTCACCCTGAGCTGTAAAGAAGAAAGAAAGGAAAAAGAACATTTATATCTGTTTTTCTAGTACAATTGTATGAAGTAGTAAGTATCTTTTAGTAAATATTTCAATTTTAGTACGTTTCATAGAGGTACTTATAATTACAATCTGTTCATAGAACATTAACATAACGTTAACAACACGTGCGAATATCGGATTCTGCAGATACATGCATTTCGAATCATATTAATTGATTCGCTGCCACTATGTTTCTTTCAATCGTCAAAAGATCTGTGAATCATGTAGTGCTGTGTTCTTTGAAAAGCAGCGAATGGTTTAAAACCAAACTTCATTAAACCTTTACGAAATTGTCTAAATTTGTCCTAAATTGTGAACATAAACGTTAAAAACTGGTCTATAATGTTCAAACTGTATCTAAGATTATGTAATTTTGCACTACAATTGTTTAAAATCGCAAAAATTTGTTCAAATTCATATAAATTTTTATAAAAATGTCTAAAATTATTCAAATAGCCTAAAATTAAACATAACATTAGTTGAACTACACTAGAAATAACACTAAACCTAGAAACTTTGGAGTTTAGCCGTGCGTCTTTTGAAAAGGCGTTTGACATTTCCGACACTTCTAACTTATTTCTGAAGAAGGTTGCAACATGGTATCCGAAACGTCAAACGCTTGTTTTAAAATCGAAAGTTTCTAGTTCTAGTATTGTGCTTCTTCTAGTATTAGTTTAGTTATCCAAAATTATTTAAAAGTGTATCCAAAATTGCCCAAAATGATCAAAATAGAGACACTGTCTAATACGTCAAAATGTCTAAAATTGGTTTACCATCAAAATTCAAGAAGATGTTCGCATTCTTCTTTGATGAAATTGTTGGTTTGTCGCCTTTTCTCAGTCTCCATTTCCAAATTTTGATTTTAAGGTTAGAACAGGTTAGAATATCGTCAAAATACCTAATAGCAGGTCTTTTGGCCACATAGAGCTGTCAATTTAATATAATAGATTCCTAAATCCCTAGATTCCTTGGTTATCTCAAGGATTGATTAACTATGAGATAAATTGAGGTGGTAGTACGTACGACCCTGTTATCTACGATATAAATTGTATCTTATAGATAGCTTAACTGACAGATAGCATTGGTTTGGTAGTAACGGGCCTTAGTAGAACTAGAATCATTTGGGTTTAGCCGCACGTGTCTAAAGACGGCTAAACCCAAACGTTTCTAATTCTAGGTCTGATGTTAGTTCTAGTGACAGTGCAAGTGTAAAACTGGAACTATCCGCACGTCTCTAAAGACGGCTAAACCCAAATCATTCTAGTTCTACGTATAGTGTTAAGTCTACATAGTAACAGTGCTAGTGTAAAACAAGAACTAACCCTAGAACTAGAAACATTCGAGTTAGCCGTGCGTCTCTTAAGACGGAAACTCAGAGTTATCATAAGGACATCATCTTTTCTAAGCAAGAAAGCTTTTCCTTTGCGAAACTACCCAATGCCTTTACTATTAAGCTATGTTGCATTTTATGTGGGACAGTGCAAGTACACAGCAGTTTCGTAAGTATGATTACTGCATTCATATACATGGTGTATCTAAAGAGATTTTTCAGCGAAAATTAAGGGGGATTTTCATATAACTTTTTGGTCAAAACCACTTCTCCTCCAAGTTACAGCCCTCTAGAATTAGTGAAAAAAATTGTTTTTCTTTAATAAGTGGAGGAATTTGGAAGGATGAAATTTGAATGCGTGAAACTTTTTAATGCGTCCACATTTTTTTATTTAGAAACTTGATTTAAATAGAGGGATTCAATATGCAACTTTTTTGTCTCTTAACATTTTCTCCTCAAATTGTTAGTTTGTCCATAAAAAAATAAAATAGTACTCAGACCTATTTGACACAAATTCACAGTATGGTTATTATTTATATAAAAATATCAAGTAGACTGATGTCATAATGACAAATTTTTAAATATTAAGAACAGTTTCTTCCAAAATTGTTAATTAAATCAAAACAAAAAAAATATAATACACAGACAATAACAATTAACAAAACTACAAAAACAAATAATAACTTTAAATATTAAGAACAGTTTCTTCCAAAATTGTTAATTAAATCAAAACAAAAAAAATATAATACACAGACAATAACAATTAACAAAACTACAAAAACAAATAATAACAACGTTAACAAAATATTAATAATCATAGTAAATGTTGAAAATGCTGCCCCTCAGCAGCGACGCACGATTCTACCCTCCGCCTCATTCCATTTCGTATTCTTTCAAATATTCCTGGTGTATTCCTAATATTTGCACATGATGCGATGATACGATTCCGTAAATCATTGATATTTTCAACAGGAGTTGAATAAATCAGGGTTTTAAGAAAACCCCAAAGACAGAAATCTAATAGATTTAATTCCGGAGATCTGCTGGCCAATTCTGAGGATCACCGCGGCCTATTCAACGATTTGTATAAACTTCGTCTATCATGCATGTACCATAATTCTCGTCTGATTTCTATCGAAACGGTTCAAGAAGCAGGGGCAACTCCTCTTCGAGGAAATTACAGTATGCGTCTCCATTTAATCTCATTGGAAGAAAATATGGTCCAATTAAATAATTGTCAATGACCACAAGCCACACATTTAATGAAAATTGGAGTTGAAAATTGGATTCAACAATTTTATGTCG